TAATTTCGAGGCCTGCACCTACCTGCCAGCATCATAAGAGGCCACTACAGGTGTTCCCTGTGTCTCTGTCTGGTTCACTCTGGAACAGATGTCCTCCATGTCCAGGATAGACACTAGGGTGTCATCTCCATCGTCCACACAACACCTGGAGTCAGGACACTTACACTGGACGTCCAGTCTCTCATAACCAGAGTTGTGGGCCACCTGCTCAAGGGTGATGGTTCTGGCAAGACCAGAGACACCAACGTGCACCATCAGCTATAAGGGATGGAAATAAAGACTTTGAATGTTAGAGACTGTAAGGTAAATTTGAATGGATTGGACAAACAAGAGCGACAAGGCTATCATCGACATCTATCTAACTTACAGCATAAATGTCTTCTTTAAACATGAGAGACCTGATATGATATGATATAATTTTGAACCCAATGTTGGAGAGGCAGACAGAGGAAGAAATGAGATGACTTGTGGATCGGCCTGCCCCTTGTCAGTACACAAGCACTGGCACACGTCAAATTGTGCTCAGCTGCCCTCACGACCAGCACTGGTCAAGGGACCTGAGTACATGTAAGCAGTAAGATGAAGTAAACCCAAAAGCTGAGTGCTATTTACTAGCATTAGCAATCACACATTTACTTCATACCTTATCAATGAGGTAAGGACACCTTTGAGCAAGTTGATGTATTATATCTTAAAGTGAGTTTTGTTGCCACACCTTGGGTTTGTACTTCTTCCATAACGTCGGTACTGTTTGTTTCACTGCCTGATACTCCACTGGCAGCTCCTCCACTCTCAGGTCCACCTCCTCTCCCAGACCCATCTTTGCCATCTCCTGGAAAAAACATCATGCCAAAGGAAGCACAGTCAAACTTGCTGAAGCAATCACCTCTATAAGCTGGCAATCTGGCCGTAATGGCCGTGTCATGACAATATGAAATGTACAATTCAATTATAACATATACATGTGTTGAATGATAAGATTAGATTAGTATGTTAGTAGAAATAGTTCATAGTTATCAAGTACTATTTGCCATACATTGTGCGATCTGATGCAATTGTTGTGCAATAAACCTTGACTTGACTTGTTTTCTCAGCAACAGGTGGTTGCCAGGTGGGGGTTGTCACAGATAGGTTATGTCATTCTACTAAATGCTCCTTTCTATATAAGGCGAAGTTACTTTAAGTAATGCCGACTGCTTATGGAAACTGACATGAACAGGAGTCTATCTACCTTTCGTCTGCAGTGAATATATCAAACTGACCCTACCTGTACGGACACCCAGCTGGCATTGATCTCATGATCTCCAAAAGGCCCAAAACCTGTCATGAAAAGGGAAAATTGCACTGTCAGCACTATAGCTATTTCGACACTTGGACGTTCGTGCAGACCAAGTTGAACTCGTCATCTGAACTGCAGTATAACAACCGACGCTATTCTTTGGGTAATACCTGAAACGTTGTATATATCGATATGTAACGTTACGTTAGAGACATGATCTTCCATCTTGACAAAGCGGAAATATTTCTGTCCATAAAAGCTACAAACTAACGTTACCTGTTACGAAGACTATGGGCAGCATTCTAACGTTGTCAGAAGGTCACAGATAAACCTGATTATACTTGTTGGACTTGTAGCGGCAGGAGTTTTTACTACTGGTGATGTAACAGTTGTCATCCAACTCTCAGCTGACTTCAGAACCCGGAAGTACTCTCACAACTCTCGTCATGTCTCGCGTGAACTTGCCGTTCTGTCTGGCGCGTACCCTCCCTCCGAGCCAGACCTAGTAAACATTGTCCCAACAGGGAGCCATAAAATTTCCTGTAAATGTAATCCCAGTTCTTTTTATGCTCTGAGAGTAAACTTATCTGTTGTTTTAAAGGAAAATGATAAAAAATGAAAAATATGAAGGTTTTCCAGAGGGAGGAAACCGCAATATAGACTGTCCCAAAATGTCATGTTTGACAGACATTTAAATTGGACGTTGATATGGCGAAACCAGGCAGCGTTCGAGGTATGTTTTGGTTTTACACAAGTGCAGAAATTTGTGACAAACCACGTCATTCACAATGGGATGCTTTTAACTGAATGTTTTCCGTTTCATTTGATGAAAAACAGCAGAAAACCGGCAAAGATTTGTTGAAATCGCAGCACGTTGTTCAAGAGGGGAGGGAGGGGACTTTAACATGGGAGTGGAAAGTTCATGTTTTCATAGCATAGAACTGGTTTCATCCGGTTCCGTTTTAAGGAAATGTCACCAACGAATGAAACACATCCCGGTATTCATTCATCCAGGGGAAAAATGGGAATTACACATTTTGTAACGTTATCCTCATCACCAGCGAGGGCGTCAGGTGATTGACATTTCTACCAGAGGTCATTGACCTTAAGTTTAAACAACCTGTCACAATTTGCCCTATAGGGGAATAACGTTAATAAGCCTATAGGTCATGACTGACAGCATTGTCTAACACTGGTCTGTTAGGACTTAAGGACCATTCACTTAATACCTAACAGTTTGTTTATTCTTTCAATTAATTTTTTTAATTAATTAAACATATAAGACTGGATAACAATTAATCTCACCTTAACAAAGTATATTGGTAACTTTAATTTGCACCTCTTTTTATTAATTACTTAGTACATCTCTTTTGGTACAATTCATTGATTTCATAACAAGATGAACTCCAATATCAAATACTAGATAATTATCAATTGTCATAACGAGCTTCGTTATAGACAATGTCAAGTCTGATGATAACTTTAAAAGTTTTTATCACATTTGAAAGGTCAGACAATTCATCGCACAAAGGCTTCATTTATAGAAAGAGTTTTAGAAGCCTAAGGGAAGGAAATGCAGCAGACAGACTGTAGTAACATACACCTTACCCCTGAGGCCCTGCACAAAATAAACAGCAGCTAACAGACCTTAAAAAGATTGTCCATTGCCTCATTTTTACACCAACTAGCAACTGCTCAAACCAGACTGATGCAAAATATTGCTCATCTGTGTTCAAATTATTTTGAAATTGTGGCCTGTTTAATGCCTGTTTGAGAGAAATATAAAACCTAGCCTTGACCTCCCTCACACAGACACACACGTGTTTGCCCCAGTTCTGCATAAGCTACATTATGTATGTAGGCCATGCATTATATACTTGGACAGGCTGAAGCTTTCAAAGCAAGATCAACATAGTACAGGCTGTCAGCATAGAGCCTACAGCACTGCTTAGGTGCACACATGTAAGCACTTCCATCGTGTAACTTTTCAAAAATTCTGAAGGCTTTTTGAAAAAAAAAAACAGCATCTGGAAATCATGGTTGTTCAGAATGGAGACCCTGCAGGTGATGTTAATTTTCATTTTAATGTCGCCCAATTGTTTTTCACTTGTCGATTTACAGGCCCAAGACATTAGCTACATGGAAAAGTGTATCTCGCCAAATCATTAAATTGCAGTCTGTTTTAGATTGGCATGTGATAATAAAAGACAATGTTTATTGCGATGACTTGATGAAAAAGAATATTCTATGATAAGTTAGCAGTTATTTGAATGTTTTGATTCTCTATGAATAATTTACAGATGTTTAAGTAGAAAATCATAAGATTTGGCATATCTCTTTTCTGTCGAAATAATTCCCATGAATATAATCTCATTGAGGAAAATATCTGGATGTTACCCTCTGGTTTGATCAGAAGTCCACGGTATTCCAAGCTAAACATGGAAGCGTAGGCAAAGGGGTAGGTCAGATTTCCAAGAGGAATTTAGCATGACTAAACTGCTTATGGAACATACGGCCATTGGTTGTTCTATTTGTTTTACTTGTTTTGGTAACATGTTTGTTTTCCAGCTGGCTTTAACTTAAAGTTGCATTTCTTAACAAACATCCAATTGGCCAGATCATCAGTTCAATGAATCACATGTAATGTGTGCACAGTAGTTTGACATACATCAGATAGTCTAGACAGCTACTATGTCAACATGCCCCACTATGGGGTCAGTGACCTAACATAAAGTAGGTCAGATTTGTTTTACTTTCATAGGGTAGGAGTTCTCGTCAGATTTTATCAGGCAAGACAAATTGCACCCTCATAAAGCTGTTCCTACAGTGATTTACAAAATTCATGCTAGTGCTTTACACATGTAATATGATACACATCATTAGAAAGTACAAATTGGAAAACAGACTTAGAAGGCTATGTTTTTCTAGTTTTCTGGCTTGCTGGCATGTTGTGGATTTTACAGTTTCTTGCAACTCTTAAACAAGTGAGCAATTGAAAATGAAAATTTAGTCCCTTGAATTCTATCAAATCTGCATCTGACTTTATGAAAAAACTAAAATGGCTTTGGTTTGTTTCTGCCCAGGTCTGTTTCCAGTTGATATTCTGACCTCGCCCGACATCCCTGAAAAGGGAACTGGGGAGGCGGCAGACTTCATCTCCAGTCTCAGCTACAATGGGAAGGAGGCAGACATTCTGCAGTGCAGTAAATGTAGCGGGCAGGTAACTCACATTATAGAACTTTTACTGCCCCTGTCCCTGGTGCTGAATGGCATTCTAGAGCTACTGTTGTCCCTGTCCCTGGTGCTGAATAACATTCTAGAGCTACTGTTGTCCCTGTCCCTGGTCCTGAATGACATTCTAGAGCTACTGTTGCCCCTGTCCCTGGTGCTGAATGACATTCTAGAGCTACTGTTGCCCCTGTCCCTGGTGCTAAATGACATTCTAGAGCTACTGTTGCCCCTGTCCCTGGTGCTGAATGACATTCTAGAGCTACTGTTGATAGTCTTCTAGAGCTGAATGATATTCTAGAGCTACTGTTGCCCCTGTCCCTGGTGCTGAATGACATTCTAGAGCTACTGTTGCCCCTGTCCCTGGTGCTGAATGACATTCTAGAGCTACTGTTACCCCTGTCCCTGGTGCTGAATGACATTCTAGAGCTATTGTTCTCCCTGTCCTTGGTGCTGAATGATGTTCTAGAGCTACTGTTGCCCCTGTCCCTGATGACCTAATACACTTACTGTTATAATCACTGTAGTATTAATCTTTATGCTTCATGTTAATATTTCTTTTAGGTTGCAGCCACCCGTGCCACAGTGAGTGTCCAGGCCATATTCAACAGTGGCAGTGACTACAGTGTACCATCCTTGTACTGCGGAAAATGCCACTTTCCCTGTAAGTCTTATAGTTGGCAAGGCAAGACCAAGTTTGCGTATATTTATGGTTCAATATGAAAAAAGAACCTATGCTAACAATACCATACTGCTGTGAATGTACGCTATTAATACTGTGCTGCTTGGACTTGCTCATGCCTAGTGTTATTTTCCAGGGCTATCAGGAGGAAGAACATGTACTATGAGTATGTTTTTTGCAGATAATATGTGTACTTTATTGACAACTATTAACAGACAACTTTTAACACACAACCTAACTATTATGCCAAGAAGTAACAGACATGCATACAGTATAATTTAGGTGCTTTAGCTGCTTTATTTCCAGTATAATTTAGGTCTATTAGCAAACATATAAGTACAAACAGACAAGTATGTAGCTAGTCTTCCTGGAGTAACAGACATACATCATACAAACTACATCAAAACTCAACATTATCTACATACAACTAAACACAAAACTTTACATTTTAAAAGTTCATCACCTGTACATCAGTTCATCACAGTATAATTTGAATCCAGCTTGAGTGGATTGACCATGTCTGTGTATGTACCACCACCAGTTGTCGGCATGCATGTTGCTGGGGAGTGGTGGACAGTAGAGGAGCTCCTCACATCCAGGGACTCCAGCAGACAGGGCTTTCAGAAGGTATGGCAAGGGTTGTATTTTTTACTTAATAATATCTACAATTTACCACATTTTGTCAAAGGATCGACATACCAGGTGACTATCACCTTTTCAAGATATCAACCCTGAGACCAGACTGTTACAATGTTGAACCACTCACACCGGAAAAGTGTGGTGGGATCTTTAATTTAGTCAGGTGTGGCTCTCCTAAACATGAGACCTCTGCTATAGTCCTATCTGAGAAGATGTCCCTAACCGAATTGCTAGGTACTCATTTCCACCCGAGTGAAGTGAGGAAATAGGAGTTAAGTGCCTGTTCCCAGGACACAACTATGCAGCCTGCCAGGGATTCAAACCCAGAACCTACAGATTCTGAGCCAACAACCCTAATTACAAGACCACCTTGCCACCATAATACAGTAATGTTATACAGTTCTGTATATGGCCTCTGAGACTCCTTCGGTCAACATTAACCGAAGTTCATAATACAGTTCACATACAATTTCAAACTTATGTATGCATGTTATATTGATTTTTCATATCATGAGTCAAAACTGTCTTTGTGCATTATCAGTTTCAATATACCTGTATCTCTGCTAACAGGTTGAGACCCTAGGGGAGCGTCTTGTCCTGTTTGTGCTGAACCGGATAGTGTACCGGTGCTGTGACATGGACAGCATGACAGATAGCCCCTTCCTCACCCACTCTGCACAGGAGACAGCCAAACTGCTGTGGGTGGACGGAAAAGCTGTCGGCTTCTACACAGTAAAGCTGAAAGGTAGGCATTTATAGATCAGTTTACCTTTCACAGATTGCATGAACTGCTTACATTACAGGGGGGACATTTCGAATAGAACACCATTCTAGAACCCGGAGGTTGAATGCGGTGCAGTGTCCCCCTGGCAGATCACTGCGATGGTCTGCATTTTGCTCTCAGATACCAGAATCGGCTATCTGGTGAGATTAGGTGGAAGGAAACAGGGTACAGCCATCCTTCAGTGGAGTATCGATAAGCTTTTAAGACTCCTTGTACCGACGCAGGTCAGGAACTATCAGAAATTAGCTTGCGCTGACTTTCCCATGGCAGGGCATTAAAATTTTGAATGTAACATGAGTATGTAAGAGAACCATGCATATTTTAAATGTGTCTGTTCGCCAGGTAATACTAGTTATGTCAACTACAATCAGATAAGGTCATATTTTTGTGTCGTGAGCACTTTAATTGTAAATGAATGCCCATTCTAAATGTTCCTCTCACTTTTTGCAGGTACCTTATGTCCCACTTTCCTGAACAAAGTGTATGGACTGGACCTGATTGACACCATCTTTATCAGGAAGTCACACCGTAACCGTGGTTATGGTCTGCAGCTGTTGGAGGACATTCTAGAGAGTCATTCTGAGGGCAACGTCGGCTTCAGCTACCCCATGTCTGACTCCATGTACACAGGTAAGGTTGGGGTATTATCTAGCATAATACGTTTCAAATTCAGTGACATAAAGAGAGCAATGATCATGTTTAATAAGGCTCAACAGTAGCTCTACAATGTCATTCAGCACCAGGGACAGGGGCAACAGTAACTCTAGAATGTCATTTAGCACCAAGGACAGGGGCAACAGTAGCTCTAGAATGTCATTTAGCACCAAGGACAGGGGTAACAGTAGCTCTAGAATGTCATTTAGCACCAAGGACAGGGGTAACAGTAGCTCTACAATGTCATTCAGCACCAGGGACAGGGGCAACAGTAGCTCTAGAATGTCATTCAGCACCAGGGACAACAGTAGCTCTAGACTGTCATTCAGCACCAGGGACAGGGGAAACAGTAGTTCTAGAATGTCCTTCAGCACCAGGGACATGGACAACAGTAGCTCTAGAATGTCATTCAGCACCAGGGACAGGGACAACAGTAGCTCTAGAATGTCAATCAGCACCTGGGACAGGGGCAACAGTAGCTCTAGAATGTCATTCAGCACCTGGGACAGGGGCAACAGTAGCTCTAGAATGTCATTCTGTATGGCATTCTAGAGCACATTTTGCCCGTCTCTGGTGCTGAACGACATTCTAGAACTACTGTTGCCTCTGTCCCATGTGCTGAACGACATTCTAGAGCTACTGTGCCCCAGCCCCTGGTATTTTCACAAGTGTGTTTTCATTATATGACCTCCTTGACAGCTGGTGTTGTTTCCCTTGCATGATAAAGAAAAACTTGCAGACACGGACATGTACAGACATGGAGAATGAGAAGAGGACATTGTCACCATCACACAAGATCTAAATATTCCATGGTCTGAGAATTTTGGCTTTTTTTCTGTAGTGTGCTACAAGTACCTGCTGAGCCATGTGGAGGACAGGGACTACCTGTGGGAGTGTCTGGCACCAGGAGACGAGATGCAGAGGGCCAACATCTGGCTCCAGCTGCACGGGGAGAGGAGGGCCATCGCCCAGGCAGTGGAGGCCAAGATCAGCCTCACAACTCCGGTACTGTGCTCTTCCTTCATCAACATTACTGAATGTGCTATGTCCTTGCGTAGTTACATTGTGGTAATAGACAGAGATGCTTTTGGCAATAGATGTGGGAAAACAGTCAAACTTGTTTAAGATGACCACCCAGGGGAACAAGGAAAAGTGACTTCATAATACAAGTGGTCCTCTAATACTAAAAGCATGGCAACAAGACAAGACAATAATGAGAAACCCTCAGCAAAATTTCCAGCCCATTGAGTAAAAATGACCAGGCCAGCTCCATTTTACATTTCACAAAGACTGATATGTTGTCAAAGTCACTAGCTGATTCAATCTACATTTCTTTCTAATTATCATCAAAATAAATTTCTGCCACATGCTTGTGGTTTCCATAGGCAGAGATTGGGAATTGCACAGTCCCAAATGTGCCACTCATGGCCACATTGAACAAGTGTAGGCTTAGGCAAGTCCCTTAATACTTACAAGGACAGGTTTGACTGTGTGTATGAAGAGCATACTGATGGTGACGTTCCATCTATGTTGTTCCCAGGTGAACGGTGACGTGGGCAGCAGTGATGAGAACTCCATGGAGGTGGATCAAGAGGAGTCTGCTGATGACTCTGTCTGCTCACCGGCTAACGGTGACGTCACTGAACAGGAACAACCTGAGGGGAGCCAGGAGGAGGAGGATTCCACCATGGAGGAAAAAGTAGACGAGGCCCAAGAAGAAGAAGAAGATCAAGCAGGAGAGGAGGAGGAGGAGGAGGAAGTACCAGAGGCTACTGAAGAGGAGATGGAGGAAGAAGAAGAGATGGGGAGCCAGGAGGAGGAGGAGAAGGAGGAGGTACAAGTGAGTGCTGATGAGGGACAGCAGGAGGAAGAGGATGCTGAGGAACACCCCAAGGAAATGCAGGTTAATGAGAAGCATTGACCAAGTTTTAATTTGAAATTTAGCTGTATCATTTTGAGTTCATGAAAATTTCTTTTAATTTGTGCATTCATATGTTTGTTTGAACCATTCTTTATTCGTGAGAAGCTCAAATCAGTATGCACGCTAGCTACTTTTCATTGAGGTCATTGAGGAATGAGGTAAGGGTCAGACAAAATATATCAACAAGATAAAGTTTAAGTCCTAATAAATAATGTGGTTGTGCAAAGTTTATTCAGTGACTTATACTGGCCTGATGAAACAATTCACGGAAATATTTACTGATGCTTTGAAAATGTTGTGTATTTGCTAGGAGGAGGACACTGCAGATGAAGAAGCAGTAGTTTTAGAGGAGGCTACTAAAGAGGAGGAGTTGGAGGACAAAATAACTGAGGAGGATGCAGTCACATCTGAGGGGGCAGAAGAAGAAGAAGTGGAATTGGTTGAAGAGGAAAATATTGCAGAGGCACTCACTGAAGAAGAAGAGGAAAAGGAGGAACAAGAAGTTCCTTCTGAGGTTCTAGAGGAGAATGCAGATAAGATGGACACCTCAGGAACTGAAGATGTTGCTGCACATGTTGAAGATGAGACCAAGGAAGATGCAAATGCTGCTGAAATAACAGATGGAGGTGAGGAGTAGACAGAGTGTCCTTTTGTCAGCAGAATGTACTGCACCTGCACGAAACCTGTAATGTATCGTGCATAGCACTTTGGCAGAATGTCTCATACTAAGGCCGTATTCGCACGTATAATGTTAACACCCCGTCTGTAGTTTCCAAATGTTATGTCAGAAAAAATATCTTCTGCAACAGGTAAGATTCTAATGTAACGTTGATGAAAAATCCAACAAAAACTGTGAAGAATCAGGGTTTCACACAGGCTCAGTATGTTCTGCTCACGTACTTGTAATAGTCAAACTTTTGGTCAAGTGCCTATCATTGTCAGTAGCTGAAGAAAGATGGATGCTGTCTGAAAGCTTCTACGCTTTTACCTTAAAACTAGTGTCGTCTCTATCAGATACTAGTTTTCTTCCTGTTACTGTAGTCAAATTGTTCTTTTGCAGTAGTTCTTTAACAGCCGTTTGTTTTACTTGTTTCTGTTTTATGAACATTGTTTTTGTTTTAGATGAGGAAAAACTGGAGGATGTCGAATCAGAGCCACTGCAAAAAGAAGAACCAGAGGAGCTCTGTGAGAAAGAACTGGAAACAGAAGCCAGCCCTGAAGGCAATGATGCAGTAGAGGAGGCTGGCAAAGAACCAGAACCAGAACCAGGCACAGCTTCCACTGCAGCAGAGGAAACTGAACACAAGGATGATGTTACTGAAGAGAGATGTGAAACTACGGAGCCACAAACAGACGATGCAGCCATTGCTTCTACAGCTACAACTACGGGAGACGACACAGAACAGGAGACAGAGGCTACTGAACAGAGTTCAGAAGCAGGGGAAGATGTCATCACACATGGAGAGACAGAAGCACCACCAGCAGAAGTGGAGCAAGAGCCTGTACAGTACAACGACACTGCAGTAGAGGCTGATGAGACTCATGCAGAAGAGGAGACTGAGGAGGAAACGTCACAGGTGTTAGAATTCATTTCTTGATGCTTTAATCATTTGGATGAATTGAAATTTATGACAGGTGGCAGCTCTTTGTACATTGTCAGTGTTTTTTTTCTTCACTTTTTCACTATAGACTGTCATAGTTTTACATGAAGCTGTCAAGATTTGTACATGTACAGGCATTGGTCTGGTACTTTGAATGACTTGCTTGACTTACATGTACGTCAGGTGCCACTCTTTCTCTGCCACCCCAACCACCATGGCAGCCCAGTAGCTCCTGTCTTGCATCATAGCCTTCCCTATGCCATCAGTCTGAAGACTGGTGTCCCTTTGCGGCACATGAGGCAAGGTCTTCCAGGCCTGCTTCTCCCATCCGCTGTAGACCAGAGCACTTAAGTTGGAGACAAGTTCCTAAATGTTGTTTCTAAGAGAGCCTTACAATAACTGCACAGTCATACAGAACTTTTTTTTAATCTGTTGTTTCTGTGCTGAATTGCTGAACAGGAACCAGAAACATCAGCAGCAGATGGAAATGTTCCAGACATGTCAGGAGAAGCCAGCACGTCACAGGAAGGAACTCAAGGTAGGGTTGTGTTGGATAATATTGCAGCTTCATCTTAGGTGGTCATCTTAGACAAGTTTGACTGTACTTTTCTGTATGGACACTGAAGATGTTGTTCCTCAATGCTGGAGCAGTACAGGACCTTCTGACAGAACCTCTGAGCTGTAAGGAGAACGAGGCATCGGGGAGTAAGGACCAGGACAGTGCAGACAGCTCTCAGGAGGACATGGAGGAGGTCAAGCAGAAACGAGGCCGGGGAAGGCCCAGGAAGAACAAGGCCAAGGAAGAGGCAAAGGCACCTCCTCAAGAAACAGGTCAGTATCTCAACACATACTATTAGATAACTGTAATTACTTTCGCGCAGAAGTTTTCAGTACCATTTGTATGCATGTGTGCTTGTATGTATGTGTGCATGTGATCTAGCACAACAACTCAAGAGGCTATGGATGGATTGTCTTGAAACTTGGTAGATAGGTATATTAATGTTATTAATAATAAGGTCTTGATGAGACCTACCGGTAGAAATGATTAGATTTTGGGTCCCCTAGCAGCTTGTTATGGTACTGCAGTGGGTCACGAATTTTAAGTGGTAGATACATAAAATTGAAGCTTTTGTGATCAGGAAGAAGAAGTGATTCATTTTGGCCCCCTAGCAGCTTGTTCTTGAACTTCAAGTTTACTACAGTACAATAATAAGGTCCAGGTTTAGGTCTGAACCTGGACCTGATCCTCTAAACCTGATCCGGACCTGGACCTAGACAGGTACCCACCACTACTTTCTAGTGTTAAAAAATTTGTATTCCCTACAGAAGAAGATGAGATGTTGGACAAGGAGAACACGACAGACGAGGAACTCTCCACCGGGAAGGACCAGGACACGGGAGACAGTTCTCAGGACGAGGAGACAGAGGAGCTGAAGAAACCACCCAGAAGAACCCCTCGGGCAGGGAGGGGCAGGAAGAGGAGATCCAAGGTTAAGGAGGACGAGGAGAACATGCCAAATCCCAGGACCTCCAAGAGAAGAAAGGTGGGTCTCTTGAAGGCATCCAGACTTAGTTTCAAATGATGATGAAAATGTGCTAAGAAATGGCCACAGTAAATTTTGGTAATGTCAGTAAATGTCAATATCAAACAGATTTTCTAATCCATCATATTTTTCTTTTGCTGCCCTGAAATTGCATTGGGTGCCTTTAAGTTTAATTTAATTTAGCTTGTTTGTAGTCCTTTTCCTGAAAAGTTTGGATTGAATTCATATTGTGTTTTGCATCATAACATGTGTAATATTCTGTATGTTTGTGTTCATGTATATATTTATGCTTGAATGTATAATATTTGTAACACAGACTTATTGTTGTGTTTCCAGGTTTAATGGATTTGCAATTTCTGGACTTCACGCTGAGCCAAGAATTCCAAGTCTCCAGTTTTCACTGTCAACTCCATTCCCACCGAAGGACTCTTAAATAACCCAACTGTAAACACGAGATCAGGACATGTGACTGGGCAGGCATGTGTACATGTACATGTACTTGGAGCATGTCAGCAGAACGTCCTGCGCAAAACCCATAACGTATTATGCATAGCACTTTCAAATTGGTAGAACATCTCATATGAGGTTAACACTCTGTCTGTAGTTTCCTGATATGTCAGAAAAGATATCGTGAAAAATCAGGGTTTTGCGCAGGCGCAGTACGTTCTGATGATGGGCTTGTGTACATGTACATGTACTGGGTAGTTCTAGAGAAATATTGCTTAAAAGAATTAAGAGAAATGCAATAGGCCTATTATAACAACAGCCCATTATGGCAAATAACCTGCCTTTTTGTGATCATGACTTTCAGTGCCAGAAATGGCAAGTGATAAAATTGTGATGCAAGAAAAATACACAACATAATTTTGCTCTTTGCAGGCTCATTCTTTGCAGGCCAAACATTTGTAAAAACACTAAACCCAGTGTTCTCACCAGGCCTTTTGAGCATGGGGCCCCCTATGCTGTAATTTGGACCCCCTATGCTGTGATTTGGACCCCTATGCTGTGATTTGGACCCCTATGCTGTGATTTGGACCCCTATGCTGTCTTTCAACCAGCATAGGGGTGTTTTTGGGGGGAGAATTGTAAGTAGGTGCCAAAAGGATGGCTTTTGCTTGCTTTAAGTTAATTGGTGGAGAAGATGACTAATATATCTAGTTGGTTACATGTAGCATATTATTGTATAATGTGAATCAGTGTATGACTCCCTATCAATCATTACTGGCAGTATTTTCGAACCCGAGAGAAAAAGGTGTGTACTACATTGTACTTGTATGTACTAACCTCAGTAGGTAGCTATGTACATAGGAAAACATGTATTGGTCATGAGATAAAAAGTAGCCTGTTACATATTACAGTCATGTAGGTGCCAACATTGCAAGGTTTGTGAGTGAAGCACAGATACAGTATGCCATCGAATATCATCAGATAAGGAGAATAACTTGAATAGGAAGATGTATGGACAATTCTTGTGAAGACTTACAAATGTAACAGGTAAGTTTGCAACTTGTTACACTTTGGTTGCTGCTTTTGCCATTTCGGCCAAACCTTTTAAACATTTATTTCAATCAAAGCAATCCTGTTTAATATAATATCCATGCATATGTTATGTAGCTGATGTTTTAATTTTGACAACTTATGTTCTGGATAGGGTCCAACTAAATGTAGTAATTGTTGCTTGTTTCTAGGGATAACATTGTACATGTAATTGTCTTATGCAGCTGCGAGTAGGAAGAGTTTCCATGTTGTGCTCGTTTAAGTCCTGTTAGAATGCGTACACAAGTACATGTACCTTTGCCCATAATGCATGACACACCACAATATGTATTTAATATGTACTCTTGCTATTAGATCAGGACCAGTATCCTAAAGGGAATAGAATCCAGAATTGTTCGAGAATTTGCACACATTAGCATTTCTAGTTTGTGTTCAACTTTATACAAGTTATCCGACTTATCATTTATCATTTTATATCCATGTATTTTGTTAGCATCTATTACATACCTTTTGCCTATAGAGATTTTCATGTTGGCAAGTCTTCCAGTTAAATTTTTTTTGTTTAGAGCGTCAGGTTGAAGTTGTCAAGTTTTGTATTAACATACATTGGATATTAAACAACATAAACTTCACAAGCTTGATTTCTTTTTGTAAGAGTAAAATAAGACTTCTATTATTACACTAGTCTAGTCTTGTACATGAACATGTACCTTGAACTGTGTGTAACATATTAATTTTCATTTGTTTAGAGCGTCAGGTTGAAGTTGTCAAGTTTTGTATTAACATACATTGGATATTAAACAACATAAACTTCACAAGCTTGATTTCTTTTTGTAAGAGTAAAATAAGACTTCTATTATTACACTAGTCTAGTCTTGTACATGAACATGTACCTTGAACTGTGTGTAACATCAGATTATATGAAGATGCAAAAGAAAGAAGCAGGGCCTTGGATTTCGTACCATACATGTACATTTATTTTACACCATCTTCCAAATCACTTCATATAGATCAGAATTTTCTGCATTAGACTATCCCCCCCCCCCAAGACTAGCAATCCTAAATAATATGTGACTTCATTACATATATACCATGTGCACTTTTAACAAAAAAACAAAACATTTTGTCTAGTAGATACAATGGAACAAAAGGCATTTCTAGTCCTTCGTAATCAACCTTTGAGTATGATTTCAGATGATTGGGTATTAGCCATGTGTCCACACTAAAAGTTTGCCAAATTTTAAAACCCTGTCAGATGCATTGAGTGTATTATTGACTTATACATATACCATGCTGCACATTATTAATACCAATGTATGACAAACCTGGAACTTAACATACACTGTGGTACTGACAATGTTGACCTTACCAAGAACTCAGAAGAGTCTCTCTGATCTCAAAATAATTTCACTCCCACTATACACATTAAAGATGCTATACAAGACGGTACTGAATATGTGGCTTAAGTTGCAGTGAAATAAAACTGCAGACAGCAAATGTAGGCAAAAATTAGCCTCGACATGTTCTAGACTGGTTTTGCCACTTAATAATACAAATACACGTTCCTTCATGATAATATTAATCCCTGTTGTACTGTACCACGCAAACAAAAAACATTTCCCACAACATCCAAATCTGCTGGAACAGAAGGAAGGGAACAAAAAGAAGGTCACGAAAATCAGCGCATGTTAAAACTCTTGTCAGCAATCTTTTTCTGTCACTTGGTGGTGCAATCTAAGGATTTTTATCCATGCAGCACAAAATGTATGAATTTAATGCAGTAATTCCTGTACACTGCCAGATAAATTTGTTTCCAAGGAAGGCTATCTATAAGTTCTACATGTATTTAGTACAACTATAACTTTTTTTTTTACACTGTATTACATCTTGAAGTACAAAGTGATGTACAAAAGCTGGATAACAAAACAGGTAGTACTTTGTATCAAAGTCTCATCCTTTTGACTAATTAATAGGCTTTATTGAGCATGCACTTGTCTTTTGGCATAATTTCAGTTTGAACACTGACCGCTTTATATAGGACACTATTCGGACATTTAAAAACAAAACTGAAAGTACCCATGGTTCTCTTGACCCAATGACATTTGGACTATTCCAGATGAAACAACACTGTGTGAAACATATCTATTTTATTCATTAGTGCTCAAAAAAGTTGCTTTTAACATGATGATAAATTTCAAACAGAATCCTGAATTTTACACTTGCCTTCAGTGAGCATTTTCCTCCACCAATTGAAACTTAAAAGCTACCAACCCTTGCTAAAAGTTTCTTCAATGCAAGAAAAGTTGCAGCAGGCTCATGTGACGAGAAATCAGTTATCTCGGAGCACACTTTTTGTGTAGCTGCCCTCACCAATACACTTACCAAATGGGATAGCCCTATCCCTTGTTTCCTACTACATTCTATAATGTATAATCTGACATTGTGCGATTATTGCTCTTGGATCATTCTAAAATGGGCCACAGGCTCCCCCCCCACCCATTCCTTTTAGCTTTTGCCAGGTTAGACATGACAGAATACATGTAATAGGACCCTGTGCTATCTATACACACAAGGATACCTTACAGCTTACTATCAGTAGCATGTCCCCTTTCCTATAAGGATTTTGTTATACCTTGCACCATAGGTGCACGTGTAGGAGTTGGTAAGGCTTTAATATACAATGTTATAGTCTGCATGTTTTGAAGTATCAACCTAATATACGAGGCTGGATTGTCCTAAGGGTTGTGAGCTTGTAGCTTTTCGTCATCTTCTCCTTCATATTCAAACTCTGATGGTGGGGCCCTGAAAAATGATATGACCATAAATTCATAAGTCACCTAATAGTAGTATATGTGTATACCGTGTACTTTTCTAAATTACTACTTGCATCTTCAATCCTGATACACAGGCATACAAATAAAAGGTAACAGAAGCAAGCAGTAACCTCTACCAAACTTTTCAATAAATTATATGGAATAAAGTCAAGCACTTGGGATGACCTTCCAGTGACAACTATTAATAATTATTATTATTATCAACATTGAATTTTGTTACCTTATGTACACAATGTATCATACTGTCCATATGTTACATTGTACATACTGTATGTATCAAACAGCCCAAAGCAGTTCTGGCTACTCAACAAAATTCCAATAGGAAACGGTTTGAGGTTTCACAATCCTTTGCAGTTGTCAGGTTTTTGCTACAAAGCATTTTGCAGATGACTGGCTTCTACAACAGCTACTGTTTACAAGGACAGCACTGATGAAAACGGCATTCAAAAATTAAATACATCTATGACTACTAAGGAAGTGAGCTGTGTTTGAGTACCTGAAATATTGTGCTGGCTTCTGTCCCAAAATCATCTCCTTCTCCAGCCTGACCCCGACTATGTCTGAACCCGGCACCTCAAACATGGGGTCCAACAGGAGGGTTTCCTACAGAGGAAAATACAGTCAAATTACAACACAACCATGTCTACATTTCTCACAACTATCAGTTTTTGGTAACCGTTATTTTTGTTTAACTGTTTCTTACTGTATTATATGTACATGTATAGTGAATAAATTTGAGCCATTACTGCTAACTTTTAAGGACAAAACTGTGACATAGCATGTGACCTCCAGTCATGTGACACTACTGTAGCTAGATTTGTTGCATAGAGTATCAGTACAGGTCTAAAATATGAAACCTGCAGATCACTTTTCATTGAGGTCATGAGAGAAGAGGTAAGGGTCAGACAAAATGTATCAAAAAGAAGAACATATGTTAATTTGTTAAATTGTTCAGATACTGATGTTACGTTAATGCAGCCCTAATGTTTAGTCATGCTCAGATTGGAGTTGAGAAGTATGAAGGTTAACTTTACTGACCATGATGGCCCTGAGTCCCCTGGCTCCTGTCTTCCTCTCCAGAGCCAGCTGTGCGATGGCTTCTAGTGCATCATCAGACACTTCCAACTGGACCTGTACAACAGGAAAGAAAGTGCCTTTTGTTAGGACACTGCTCAAGCAACACTCTACGAAAATCTAGATGGAAACAAGAAAATAAAGTCATTGATTAAGACAAAGCAAATTTGTACTTTGTTATACAACATGTTAACAATAATGTTACTATGATCTGGAAGGTTAGCACCACAATGAAAAGTACATGAACATAGTATACAGAAATGGCTGCATGGCGTGCTGTTTGTTGCTCCCAAAGTTTATGTGGTCTCAAAGCATTACGGTGCATGCAAAAAGAGTTTATATAATGCACAAATATGCAGTCACTTTCCACTGCCCAGTCAAACTACTACTGGAAACTAAAGTTTACCTTGTCCATCTGGAAGAGAGCCTGGTACTGTGGGATGAGAGCGTTCCTAGGCTGGGTCAGGATCCTGACCAGCATAGCCTGGCTCAGACTCTGTAAGGCCACCACCACGGGCAGCCTCCCCACAAACTCCGGAATCATCCCAAACTCGATGAGGTCTCGCGCCTGCACGTGGGCCAACAGGGCGTCCTTTTCCTCATTGTCGGCCTGCGCGTTGGTTCCCTCCGTCATGCTCTGTACATCCGAGGCCGTGGCCGCGCGCCGACCAGGCTGACGTTGGCAGGAGCACCGGAAACCTAGGGTAACTGGGGAGGACAGGAAAGGAAGGGAGTCAAACACAGAGACAACAAGAATGGAGAACACACAATTCTTAAGTTTTTGGCACTTGATCAGATGTGTAGCCTTGCCTGAAGATAGAACGGATTTATACTGCTAAGTATTTGCGTGCTCCTGGTGGAATAGGGAGTCATCAAACGTCAACATGGATTTGGGTCAAATATCACCCCTATGTGTACGGGATTGGTAGAAACTAATGGATCACCTTTCGCACATAGGATTTTGGGTTGAAAGGCACCAAAACTGAAATTACTATATTTGTCCTTTAAGCACACCCAGGCACTGCCCCTACCTTCTCATGCCGTCTCCTGCTGATGATCCTGTCCAGCCCGTTAAACGCTCCCGACGCCACAAACAGGATGTTGGTGGTGTCCACCGGTACGCTCTCCCCCCGCAGTTTTCTCGTGTTGCGCTCGGGAACGTTCACTACTGTTCCCTCCAGCAGCTTCAGCAGACCCTGCCAACAACAGAAGGAAACAAACATTCAACACTGGCCTAGATTTTCAAATACAGTTACTGTACATTATGAAATGCAAAATGTCTAAATGTGTGAAACTTTGTTTTAGGCAGCCTAAAAAATTTCAGTTTTCTTTGATGTTGCCACCAACAGGAGGGAAACAAACATTCAACACTGGCCTAACTTTTCAAATACAGTACATTCTGAACAGCAAAATGTCTAAATGCATGGAACAGTGTTCTACCTATTAGTAAAATTTTTCCGTAAATTTTGTTTGATGTAGTATCGTGTCAAGCACTGGTGGTGTGACAATCCTAGGGTGGCATGCTCCCCTGGGAAAATTTGAAATCTTGACCCTCTGAAATGCTATTTCCAGTATTTTGAGGGGCAAATTTTGATGGTAGATTGAGCTTAGTTTCATCTCTTTACACAGCAATTTTTGTCTGTTAAAGATTGGACGAATCAGACAAAATATGTCCGCCATGAGCGAGAAAATTCTGTCAAATTGCTGGGTAGAACACTGGTATGGAAATAAGAAGTTGTCCACACCTGCTGCACCCCCTCCCTCCTACATCCCTGAGTTGGTGGATCCCAGGAACACTGCCGATCTTATCCACCTCATCCAGGAATACAATACCTGTGGGGAACAAGTAGAACATCATATTTAGGTCACCAGTTTATAGTTCAAACTTTTGTTCAAACACAAAGGTTTGTTCTCCCCTACAGCTTTCAACCAGTCACTCTGGTCTTCTTCAATAGACAGAACCAGTGAGACTTGTTACTTGTAAGATTATTTATCAGATGCCTTTGACCGTCGGTTGCGCAACGGATAGAGCGTTGAACCAACAGGTCCGGGGTTCAATACTCACCATGGCCCGACGTTGTGCCCTTCCAAAGGCACATTACACGACTTCCCCACCTGTACGGTGGAGTGACGCCCACCGAGCCTCTTAGGCTAATCTAACTAAATGTGTGCCAAAAACACACTACGAATTTGCTAACATCTGCACATTTGCCACCGAGAGCCGTAATTCCTTTTTTTACCGAGTGCTGACATCACACAGATCTCACTGGGTCAGTTTAAAACACAGATTTCTACCCACATGTAGTGACTGGACAAAGCAGAGAACACATCCATACTCTAACCTTGTTGTGCCTTCTCTACGTTGTAGTTAGCGTCAGCCAGCAGCTTGGCGATGACAGACTCGATGTCTTCCCCCACGTACCCAGCCTGAGTCAGCGTGGTGCAGTCACAGATCGCAAAACGGCACATCCAGACATCTCGCCAGCGTCTGGGCCAGCAGGGTCTTTCCTGAGGAAGAAAATAATACACATATCTGCGTCAGTTCTTGTTTGTGAATTTTTCAACACATTTAACACAATGGATTTACTTGCAGCTAGCAAGCATAGCAAGGCAACTTTTGGGGTGAAATTTTGTTCCCTTATTCAGTTTGTACTCATTTGATTGATGATGTTTGAAAGGTACTCTGGAGAAAGAAAGGTAGTGTCATGTCTGTCTGTTTGTTTGTTCGTTTGTTAGAACCATGACAAGCTCAAATCGGCCAAATCTTAATGTCAAATCTAAAGATTTTGAACTGAACACTCCCATGTAAAAGCCGCCAACAAATTGAAAAGTCTTGCTTCATTTTAAACTTCTAAAACTCCAACACCAGTGTTGTGGCTAGCCTGAATTTTTTTCTGTCATCTCATTCTCAATTTGTTTGAAATAACATTACATCGAGCACTGACAATCCTGGTGCAGGGTGTGTGTGAAGTGTGGGATTTGTATGCTCCGCTGGAAAAATGTTGAAATCTTGACCTTCTGAAAGGCCATTACCTGCATTCTAAACGAGCAAATTTTGCTGCAGACTAGTATAATGACTATCTCTTTCTTAATTTTCACATGCTGATTAGGGCAAAATTTGAGTGAAAAAGACGCTAGAACGCTGTCAACACCTGAGGTGTTCTTGAACCCTTACCTGACCCTGTGGGTCCTAACAGCAGGATGTTGCTCTTCTCCAATCGGATCTCCTCTGAGGTAGAGTCCAGGATGTCGCTGGCCGAGCGTTTCTCCTGTTCAGGGGGAGGGGTCTGCTGGTGCAGGTTGGGTCCCAGGGCACTGCCGTGGCTGATACCTGCTATCTGTAGCAGCTCTGGGGACAGCAGGGGAAAAACATGTCACACAGAGATATCATGTGAACTGGTCTCAAACAGCCATATACATGTATGTAAAACACTACATAAACCGGAGCAGGTTGGGTCCCAGGGCACTGCCGTGGCTGATACCTTCTATCTGTAGTAGCTCTGGGTCAGCAGGGAAAACAGATATCATGTGGTCACTGTCTCTTAAACAGCCATCTACATGTATGTAACACACAATGTCTCTAGACATCATACAAAACAAACTCCCTACAATGCAACCCCATTGATCATTGATGAAACTTTAAAGGATCCGACCTACTACTTAATACAAAGCTCAAGAAACTACATCTAACATCTATTATAAGCTAAAAACCCTCTAACACTACAGGTCAAAGCATTCTGTCTTTGGACTCAGCCCATCTTAGTTGTTGTGACTGAGAGAGTTGACAAAGACTAGACTAGGAAGGTAACATTAGTAAGGCAAACACATAATGTTTACCTTCACATGGTCTAGCCCAACAAATTATACTGTTACTTATTACTTACTGCTCTGTTTATATCTGATAAAACACATTCTATGATGACCAGCCCATGTTACAGCACCAGTTACCATGATGACAGACATCTGGTCCAGGTCATTGACTTTATATGTTTAGAGAAGAAGAAGAGGAGGAAGAAACTGAGCAAAAACAAGATGTTTCCCTTCTGTGAAGGTAAACACAACACCAACCTCTAGGTGTAAAGGTGGCCTGGGTGTTCCCTGACTGGCGGTCTATGGAGTCCACAGTCTGTGCCCGTACTGTGGGACCAGTGCTGGAGGGGGCAGGAGATGTGGTGAAGATCCTCTTGTAGTGGTTGTACACAGCCACGGATAACACCTTCTTAGCTTGGTCCTGGCCAATCACGTACTTGTTCAGGTATTCAAATATCTGGTTCAGAGAAAGAGGTGAAGGTGTTAGATGTAACATTCTACAAGTGTTCTCATGCACCAAATTGTTACAGCTTCACCTTTACTTTACATGTTAGCATTAAAAGCACGGTCATGGAAAAATCCTAAGTATTTCTTTGGCCAAAGGGCCAGAAACATGCAGCATATTTTTTTCACTGTAAATCAACTCCATAACATGGCCACACCTGAAATCAAATGACAGACATACAATAAATAAAGTGAACTGAAATGTTAAAGGCATCCCATGCAATTTCAGGGCAGCAAAACTGGATTTTGAATATCAATTTTCTGGTCATTCTTTAAATGAATCAATTATTCCATAGCATACTGATATCTGTGAGGCAAAAATGCGATGTTGCTGATGGAAAACGTTTGCTTGTTTTACATCATAGGTTGATTCTAGCTATTCATGGGCGGTACATGTAGCTTGTTTTGGGGCTATTCTAATCACTAAGTCTTCAAGTATGAAACGACGATGAAAATTTGCTAAGAAGTGGCTGTATCAAAATGTCACTATCAGACTTCTGAAATTGAATTGAATGCCTTTAAGTTGAAGCTGGTGTGTTACGCTGAAAGGCGGTAGTACCAGCTATAAAGAGATCGGATACAGAAGTTGATATTACCTTTTTCGGTGCAGGTGGTGGTTTCTTTGTCTTGCCTTGTCTCTCAGCAGTTTGTTCCTTCAGGCTTTTCTTGGAGTCCATCTCAGACAGAACCACAAAGAAATGGTGGCACTTTTCACACTTCACAAACCGAGTAGAGGCTTCAGAAATGAAAAAAAAAACACAATGACTTCAAGATAACTAGAAATACTTTTTTTTAGTGTTCTACAATATTGCAGAATGTCAAAATTTTGTTCTGCAATTAAGAAATACTTTCTGCACATACACACTTAAAAGTCTGGATCTAAATGTATGACACACTAGTATACAATATTGCATGCTGGCAAACATTGTACATGCAATTTGAAGAATACGTGCAAAATTAATGTATGACTTTAAATCATAAAGTCATACATAGTAAATACACAAGCTTGTGAACACCATTGAACTCCTAGCCTGATTTTTTCAGTCTGCAATATTGCAGGTTGGTTAATTTTTCTTCTGCAATATCGAAAATGTCTCTGCAAAATGCAGATGGGTATTTCTAACACTGCTGTTAGTATTTTAAACAGAAAGTGAAGACATTTAAAGTTTGACTTACAGACAAAAGTCTCCACGTGTGTGCATGGATCTCCACACTTGGGGCAGCAGAGTTGTCCCTTCTTGTCTCCCCCGTTCTTGTCCCCCCCGCCGCTGCCCTTGTTGTTGCCGTTGGTTGGTTCCCGTCCCCCGTCCCCTGATGAACCGTCCTTGCTGGTCCCGCTGCTCCTGAACCCCGCGGCCGACAGCGAGAACATCCGCTGGGGCACGCACACAGCGAGCAGCAGGGGCGGCTGGCGGCCGCATATTCTTAACGTCGCTGTGGACACAGAAGGGAAGGTAACAGATTAGAGCAGACATAGATTATACATAATATAGAATACATGTACATGTATAACACTGGAGGCCAGAGATAGTGAGGGAGATCCAACCACACTAATAAAAAAAAAAAAAACAACGGGGGCTGGAACTGAGATGTTGTTCTTGCCCCAGAAAAATGTCAAATATGTTAAAATTTGGTGTCCCTAAAAAATCGTAACAACATCCATATCTGGAGTATTTGAATATTCAAACAGCAGCTTTTGGAACCCCATGTGATAACCCAGTAGAATCCTGCATGATACCGCTAGTTATCACACAGGCCCAAACACCTGTATCGAACATTATCACAGCCCAAGTAAGACATAAAAGTCATATTCATTTATCCTGACTCCCACTCATAACATTGAAGTACATGTACTAATAATGTCAAGGATGGCAAAAATAGACAGTCATGTTCTAGTCTACTTCAGGGCATTTTCTAAATATACAATTTCAGTCTCACTATTGCTATACTCTTAAAGTTGTGCACATAAATCATAAACTGACATGTCATCATTGTCCTATACAAATGTACACGCAACTTTTATTTTACCAATACCACAGGGACCACAGGTTGTCATCTGACCAATGCAGGAAGGAATATTATATCATAATGTGATTGTAACTTACTGATTAATGGCACTGTCACACGACTGTTATGTGACTTATATTATATATATATATATAATATCAGTTTCCCTGTGACCTCCCGGTGTTCTAGTTTACCTTGTACCCTGGGTGGGACAGGGTTGTGATTAATCTTAATGTGGCACCCCAGGGTCAAACTACAATCAAATTAACTCAGTGTAGTCAAGTCAATACTACTATAGCAATTAACTAATATTCTATGGTAGCCTGTCCAAACAAGAGTGTAAATACACTGCAGTGTTTTAAATTAAAATTAGTCAGTCAGTCAGCTTTAATTTACTGTTATCATCGTTCGCCCAGCTTCACCTATCCCTAACTATATGACAGACACAAGAAAACACACAACACAAGTCTCTTTGTGGCAGAAATTAGTCAGCTTTAATTTACTGTTAATAGTCATGTCAGAAAAAAACAATAGGGTTTGTGTAGCCAGTCTGAAAGTTGTGTACAGTGTACATGCTGTTAACAGCTCAGGGTTAAACCCTTAAATCCCTTGTTTTTCCAGACATGGGGGTGAGATAAATACATCCTACAACACAGGGCTGCCATAAGTCAAATGTACAATGCTATACATGTAATATATATAAATAGGATATTAATCAGCTATTTTCATACTAAGATTAAAATATCATGACTGGTTTGCAATCTACAGTTGTTGCTTGGAATATTTTTTGTGCTGTTCTGTTCTATACTGCATGCAGAAACAGCTTCATGAGACAAGAACACTGGTCAGTAATGGAAAATCCCCCTATTTCATCATCCCAGTACAGAAGTAGGTCAACCCTTCAGACCAGTGTCCTGACTTGTGTTTTATGGATTATAGTCCAGGAGTGGTCTCCACATCATGTTGGCAGAACATACTGCATCTGGGCCTGTGCAAAAACTCGCATTTTTCACTGTTTTCCTTGGATTTTTGGTCAACATTACCTCAGAATTTTGCCTGTTGCAGAGGATATCATTTCTGACATGACATTTGAAAACTACAGATGGGATTTTAACCTTACAAGCACATTAACACAACCTTATAAGAGACGTTCAGCCGAAGTGCTATGCACAATACATTACTAGTATGGGTTTCATGCAGGTGCAGTACGTTCTGCCAACGTGCTAGTCTCCACCGGACTAACAACGTTAACTTGGGTTCGAAAAAAGGTCAAATGCAGCCAACGGGGAGAATAATTGACTAGTGGAGTTTAGCCAGCGTAGAGTTCATTTGCCCGTGCAGTTAGAAGGGCTGGAAATTAACCTTCCTGCGGACCGACTTTCCTGACAAACTATGTACATGTATTTCCCTCTTTTTACCAAATTCTACGATCTTAGCCTCGTAAAAAGGCCTGGTGGAGGCTAGGCTAGGCAAGGAGGACACCTCATCTTTTGTCTTACTACATCGGTCTTCCCTAAAATGTTTTGCCCAGCTCAGCCCAAAAATATCCGTCATGACGTCAGTGAGGTTGTTGGCTGATACCAAGGAGCTTTCGAAAGCTGATACTGAATAATTTAACTGAACCCTTTCAGGTCACTCATGAACACGACTGGATCCTCAAATCTTCGCAGTTTAGTTATTACATCTACTCTTGTTTATCACACCTGTGACCTGTGTGATATGGACTCCATAACAAAGGCTGAACACCTGAGGTGTCATCAACAAAAAAACAGTATCTTTGTTATGTACTGTAGATAACTCTTTTAGTCTCACTCACCCCATCCCACACACACGAAACAAAACATGATGCAGTCTTGTGTACTATTACATTGTATGTGTATAGTGTATAATGCTGCAATTTCTGGTATAGATTATTCAAATTTCATGAATACAAGTTGTCTCCATGAATAGCTGTTTACTTTGGTTTCCTTGTCTCACACATCACATTTGTTTCCAGTACTTGATAGGTAAAATTTATCATGATTGATGATCCAACTGTCTATGTAGGAAGGAATTTTACTGTGGTTAAATTTCAAAATAGTCTCAACAGATGCAATAACACTGGTCCTTGCTGCTGTTTATTGATACTCAGGACAAAAATGACTATTATATTATAAAAGAGCAAATTTCGTCTGTTCCAAATCACATGCAATGTTTAACAAGGACTAGTACTGTTACTGTCATTAATAAAAAAAACTATTCTTCTGAACTTCCCAATACCCACTAATTTTAGAAAAGGTGGGACATTAAGTCTTCTATGGTTTACAAAAGAGAAGTCAAACCCTTCAGACATAGTTTTAGACATAGGTATAGTTTTAAACAACTACCTTTCATCAAGTAGATTTTAGCTATTTTATACTCTGTCTCAATGTTCTTTTATGTTTGTAATCTGCAATTAGCCTCCTGGCATGAATTTGCAATTAGATTTCTCTCTTTCATTAATTTTTATATCTATGCTATGATGCTATGACCCTCACCCTAGCAGACTACGTAGTGGGGCTGGGACAAAATTATTCTTCACACCCAGCTATAGCTAGTTGGACCAGAAAATTTTCCACTTCAAATGTTTCACTACAAGAGAGTTGAACAGTAAAAAAAAATTGCAAGGTTCAAAGTTCATGTTGGAACAGTTGAATAGGTGACCCTTAAACCAAAACACACCACACCTGTATTAAGTGTGCACGTGAACAACGCGTGATCAGCCCTGGCCTTCGGCACAGGTGTAACTTAGGTTCAAACATGACCTAGTAAAGAGACCGGCAAAGATGAAGACAGTCTGGCATATGGCTTAGTACACTTAAGGACAAGTTGAAAGAAGGAAGGAAAATGGTAAACTAGAGATAATCAGCATCACTAATGTTACTATTACAGGAACAAAAGAAAGAATGGCTTCCCGTTGGATCTGGTGTGGTTTCAATATTGTCGGGAGTTCCCCTTGGGAAAACATCATGGAAATCCCAAGGAGGTTAAAAAGAGGAATACAAACAATGCGCTGCGGACGATTATACTGTAGATTATGGCCATTGTGTAAACATAACCGACTGTTGGGTTTCTCATGTAACTTAAACGTAAGATCGTTAAAACAAGAAACAGTAGTTATGCTTTGGGGCTAGAATTTCAGTGCGTTTCCTCTTCATTTTTCCACACGACTCACAAAAAGGCTTACGCAATCAAGCTCCCGATATGGCTTCACAGAAGGCTGATGAACCCAAACAATAAAGTGTTATTTATACACATCCTGTTTGTTTCCTTACCTGTTTTCTGTGGTCTGGCCACGCAGAGAATCCGTCTGAGCGGACGGTATGAAAATCTGAGTCCTCCCGGCATGTTGAGGGAAGCAGTTCCGTTCAAAAGACGGGTTCACAGACCCCGAAAACACTGGGGGAAATCGGTGGCGTCTGAGGGAACAACACACAGAGCCAGGAAATCTTACTCCGCAGTTTACAGCCGCTACACGGGGATTTCTTCCAGTCTGTTGGTGACTTGTGGGGCCCGGGTGTTACGTCAATGACCTCTCACTCGTTGCATCGGGCCAAACTTTTACAAACACTCGGTGACGAAGCAGAAAACTCGTTACAAAACAGAGAAGGTCAGGCGACAAGACGGCCAGCCATGTTTGCTTACCTAAATTCTGACGGGGGCATGCGCACTGCGTACAATGGTGTAACTCCGGGCATTGTTGGAAGCGCCGCCATGCGGCCAAAGTTATACTGCATGTGGCACTCTGCACGTAAGCACAATAGGGCTGCAATACTGTAAAATATCGCTAGATAGCGCTAATGCACGGGCACAAGCAGTCTGCACCAACTATTACCGCCACTAGGTGTCGCTGCTGTAACGTCAACATCGATCAGCTGTGAGGGAAATCTGTGGCCAGTATGTCACCTGTCACCATATCAGCTCTACCAGGCCACCTTTGATTGATGTAGCCAGATTTTCTCACCCGTAACGTTACCTACCGGCATTGCTGCACCCGTCCTGCTTTTGTTGTTTTGCGTGTATGTAACGTGAGACAGAATAACAGACACCAATGGCGTTAGTGTGAGATGTGGGTGTGGTCTGGGGTGAACATTTCACACGATATTTTGAAGAGGTGGAATGGAGAAGGAAGGACCAGGGGTGGACAGGGCAGGGTGCGTGGGAGGGGCGGCCAAGACTGACGCTCCCACCGACAGCCCAGGACGGAGGCTACACCAGCAGGTCATGCAGAAGTTAAACCAGGCCTGTGAGGGGCCAACAGGTCAGTGTATTAAAGCTGTCATATTATCTTTTCCAAGCTTATCATCACCTGTCATCAACGCTGAGATTTCAGTATATTATGATAATTAACCTACCTGACTACCAATCATTCTAGATCTATTTGGATCATGCTTATCCCTAAATGTAGTAGTTAACTTAAACCCCTGACAAGAGACTGTTATGTACATGTAACACGTTATATTCTAAGCAACAGTTACACTTACAGTGCCAGTGTACTGTTTCCCGGTAAATGTATAATAGCCTCCACCAGGCCTTCCTATGGGGGTACAGACCATAGAATTCTGTAAAAAAAAAGGGAAATAAATTTACCAGGAGAGACATTCTGCTGGCAAATGAACAGTTTACTGTGCTATTAAAACTCCCCTGGCAAATTATTCCCCTATGATTTTGAACCCGTGTGATTAGTCTGGTGGAGACCTACTTAGTAGGTCAGCGTGTCAGGAGGATAACTGTTAAACAATCTGACAAAATGGTGTCACAAAAGATGGAAATCAATTTTCAGAATGGCACAGAGAAGAGAAACTTGGAAATAGGTGTTCAGTTCAATATCATGTAACGTTTGTAATACAGTTACTGTTCCATGTCAACATCAGTAGCTGCAGTTTCAAATAGACACACAGACCTTTCTGTCAGCCTTGATTAAACAGAAATCAGGCGTGGCCTAGCAAGTGGTGGGATGACTCATTTTGGATTAGACAATTATCTAAATTAAATATCCGTGATGGTGGTGGAGACAGACTGTTATTGATTTACTATATGTAACGTTGTACTACTGTAATACTTTGTAAGTAGGTCACTATTATTTCAATCTCTTAGTTATGAGTTATTATTATTGATTTGCATTTTTTGTTGTAGACAATGTTTACAATTCAAGCAGCTGACTTAATGTTTAAAGGCCACACCCACTCTCTATCATAATCTAATTATCCTTTTACTTCTACAATTCGAAGCTTGGATGACATTTTAATCTGACATAGCAAACCAGGTGTACATGTGTAATAACTACATGTTGTACAATGTGAATGACATCTATATGGAATTTGGGTGTATGTTTTGTCGGAAAATCATTTACTTAAGTGAAAAATTTTGAAACATTTTCCATTAAAAAGCTATATTGTGACATCTTGTAAACCACCAGGAACAACGGTACAGGTCCAAAATACCTAATCCCAAGAGTACCGATACTGTACCTAAATAATTTCACACTAATTATATGCCTATTTGTGACCTACAATGTGTAAATAGCTGGTCCCCCATGGGTCCCAAAGTAAGGACAGCAGCGCATATTTGTAGTATTACAGACCCTTAAAGATTTGGTGAATTGTTCAGGTACAGGTTCAGGTCCGGACCTGTACCTAAGCCCGTGTACCTGTACATGTACCTAAAATTTGTTTAGGTACACAGCTACTGGTGACTGATTGTCACTGATATCATAGTGTACACTTGTGTATGTGTTTATTTATAAGACATCATTTTCCACACTTCCATATAGAAGCTCCTTATCTTCAAGTTAATGATCATGACCTTCCACCCATCTGTTGGCCTCAAGCCACCACCAGATTGTTCTGTGATGGAGCAGATTGTGTATTGTGTTTCCCATCACGTACCTCAGGCTAGATCTCCGATACATTATCTTGTCGTGGTCCAGCATTGTATTACCACCAACCCCCAAATCAATACCCCCTATGTCATGTAAATGTTCCTCAAGCCAATGTTGTCACTGTGTGCCAGTATAGAGATTAGCACCGTATGGATCATTCTCCTTGCAAAGTGGACTTTGGGGAAAAATTTATTATGGTTGTCATAGATTTTTTGTACATTAGTGGCTAAAGTGGAATTGGTTGAAATCTGGCCATGGGATGGTATAGTATATTGTCAATTAAGGCTTACCACCTTAATCAGTTGGTTCTCGGATTTGCCCGCTTCATTTTGTTAATGCTCAAAAAAAGTATGTTCTGAATCAACATTTTAGCCCCAACAATTGAGGAAATTTAAGTCCTTGTGTTCCTAGTCTGTGTAATGCAAACTCTGCCGTCCGCGTCTGTCTAATTGTTACAAACTATTTTTTCATCTAACACTGCAGTGCTTTGATTAAAGAGTTCAGGTCCCCTTTGGATTGTTGTGCCTTTGATGCCCGACATGATTATGATACATCAAACAAAATTTTGAGATGACGAATGACAGAAAAAAATTTGAGCTGGCTAGAACACTACTGAGCACACTCTGACCTCCTAGTTAAAATAATAAATGGTTTATCGATCAAACCTTCGCAGCCTTTTATAGCGCTGAATTGATGCAGGGTTTACAATAACATAGTAATTTACACATGATATATTTGCTCCACACATTTTTGTGGAACTGTCGCAAGGGTTTGTGCGGCTGCCATTTGGTGCCACCAGGTGACCTCGATAGGACTTTCCCCAACCGAAGTTAGGTACCCATTCACACCTTGGTGGAGTGAGGAAAGTTGCGTAAAGTGCCTTTCCCAAGGACACAACGTCGGGACGCAAGTCCAAACATGTCCCGGGTACAACTCAGGATCGAACCTGGGTTTCGCCATTTCATAGTCGAGCGCTCTACTACACTACGCCACCCAACGCCACTTATGAATTTTTATACACTTCTGGTCCCTTGCATACAGATGTCTCCAGACTCAACAGCATTAATTATTCAACCATCCAACAAGCCAAGCACGAAATTGTTAGCCTAATCATAAATTCAATAAGGGTGGATCTGATATCTTGACTGTAACAATTGAGATGTCATCGCTAGCACCTGGTCCAGGTGATATCTTTTAATGCCACTCAAATGAATACTCTAGTCTGCTATATCATATCCTACATACATGTACTTAAAATACCATTGTTTTATTGGTATAAATTATAGAATAGGAAGCAGATTACATTTTAATGCCTTATCCCAAGGTGATCTTGAACAGATGCAGTCATGGAATTATAATATAAGCAGGGTTTGGAAACATCCACATCACAATGTCTATAGGTCAACTTCAGTTTTGTGGCTAATATTTTAGAGGTTCTATTTTCCTTTTATAATGTGGTTGGGTTGTGGAATAATGATGACATTCAGGTTGACAGTAATGTATTGAATTTGAGCACAATGTAAGACAGGCAATGCCCATGTCATCTTTCAGTAGGCCAGTAAATTTCTGTTTCATTTGGAAATCAATAAGTTACAGGTAGCACTCACTGACTCACTCAAGCCCCTGAGTGTTAGTCACATAGCAAAATATGGCCTTCTGAACACTCAGTGTTAAGCCAGGTTGGCTATTGTTGGCTGCGCCAGCCAAATGTTTCAAACATGTTCAACTTGGAACATTTGGAAGCCTGTATGATAACTAAAGAGAGCCCCGGGCCATACCGCTATAAGTTATCACACGAGCTGGAACACCTGGTATAATTTTACATAAAAGTCAATACTCAACTTTATCTGCAAGCACTGGAATGAATTAGGAGTCTTACCCCATATTTTTGACTGACTCCTTCAACCTTGTTCTGACAGAATGGACCCGTCTACTCTTGGAACGTGACGTCAG